CAGTGTAAGACATCCACAAAAAAAAAGAAGAAGAATTTATAAATTATCAAGGGTTCAGCAGGGAGGGGGAAAATGAGGAGCTGATACTGAGGGTTCAAGTGAAAGGATGGTGACAGCATATGTACAGAAGTCTTTGACACTATGGATATATGTTTGGATTGTGATAAGAGCTGTAAGAACCCCCCGTAAAATAGAATTGAAGAAAAAAAGACCTGTGTAGCCAGGGAGAAGTGCATGAAATGAGAGTGGTAGAAGAGGCAGTTAGCTAGTTCACAGGGAGCCAGAAAATGGAAGTCATTGTAAGGATTTAGGCTTTACTCTGAGATGTAGTGAGCCTTTGTAGGGTTTTGAATGGATAAGTAGTTTAACCGGCTGAGGCTTTTAGAGAACCTGGAAGGCCATTATATTTAGAACAGATCTGAAGAAGACAAGAGTAGAAGCAGGAAGTCCAGAAGGAGATTTATGCCATAATCCTGTTGAAAGACAATGATAGATTGAACCCATGTGATAACAGAAGAGGTCATTGGAACTGGTTAGAACCTGACTCTATTGTGAAATATTTTCATGATGTCTTAGATGTGGGTGTAAGGAAAAAAGAGAAGTCAAAATGATTAATTAGGTCTTTAGACTGAGCAACAAGATGATAGATGGAGACAGCAGAGTTGCCATCGGCTTATTAAGCTCATTGCTTAAAATGTACTTGGATGTATGTGTCATTTAGGCGCCATAGTACCCCAGTATAATTTTTTTTCTTACTTTTTTCTAATACTTTTGTTTTTAATATAATCTACTTTGAAGTAACTTTTTAATGTTAAAAATTACATTTCTGTGATGAAGATAAATACCTGGGATGAAATATGTTATTTCTCAAATGAACTATGTTGTCAAAGATAATTTTTGAAAATTATCAAGGATAGGCCTCTATCCTTGGAGTGCAAATTTTTAAAACCTTCAGGACTGAGTCTTTTATTTGGGTAGTTCAAACATCTAGTCTCAGCCACATTGTTCTACAGACTAGAAATACATAGCAATGGGTATGGTACCTTGGACTGAATCTTATGGGTGGTGGAAGGGAGGTTTCAGCCAGCTGATTTTTCTAGAGCTGCTAAAGAGAACTGCTCTGAAGTGGGACAATGCTATAGAAATTCATTAAGATTAGATATTCAATTCTGAGAATTAAAAAGGTAGAAAATTAAGAGATATGTGAGGAGGGGGGAACGGGGAAGGAGGGAGGGGGAAAATGAGGAGCTGATGCCATGTGCTTTACACAAATGTGCTTTACACAAATGATGTATGTATGGATTGTGATTAGAGTTGTATGAGCCCCTAATAAAATGATTTTTTTAAAAGAGATATATGTAGATAAGATGAAAACTACAGGGAAATTATCTAAAAGCATGAAACTTACACAGGGAGGGTTTTTTGCAATAGAATTTATGAAGCTTGTTGTAGGATGGAGGTAGATAATAACTGCCAAGCCAGAAACATTGAATCTGAGAGGTGCAAAGACATAAAATACTAGAAAACAACTTCAAAATATGAATGAACCATTCTTGAGATCAAGAGCTATAATTAACCAGAATATTTTATGTGGACAAGAGGTAGAAAGAAATATATATATTTAAAATCAATAATAATAATATTTCATTTTGATTTTTGTTGTTGTTATTGCTGGGGTTTTTTGTTTTTTTATTATCTAAGGAAAGCACCTGTTCTTTAGATATTTAATATATTACCCACAGGACACCATTTTTAGTTATGACATATGGATTATTGTGAGATGGATAGAAATTAAAATCATTGGAAGGAAGACATAAGTC